CGGGCCCCGCAGCGCCGAGCATCCATCCCTTCGCGCTGGTCCCCGCCCGCCGCCGCGCCCGCCTGACGTGACTTCTTTGTGCTGTGTTCTCTGCCCGCGCCTCTCCTCCGCAGGACCTGTTCGTCCTTCTCTGGGCTATAGGAAGGCAGACGATGCGATGTCCCGGGCCACGTCCATTGCAGACCAGCTGGAGGCGCCAGCCCGCACCATTTACCTCAATCAGCCGCATCTCAACAAATTCCGTGACAACCAGATCAGGTAGGAGAAGGCGGCTGAGACACGCGAGAGGCAGGGGATGCCGAGCGGGGATGGGGCTCGTCCGCCTCGCGTTAGCTTTTCCGCGCACCCCTTCAGCCCCGACCCCTGTCGGCTTCCCGCAGCCCCGTCCCGCTCCCCGCTCCCCCAGCCTGGCGGTCTACAGTTGACCTTCCGATGGGGTCGTATGAACGCGGCCCTTACCTGTCTCTCCTTCACATCTGTTCTGTGCTCAGGCCGTCTGTGAGCCCCGAGGAAGTTTTTATTCTTAGCTGCCTGACAAGAATGAGGTCTCGTTCCTCCATCCCAGAGCGCCCTTCCACGATTTGCCCCTCGTCCTGTTTTACGCCAGGCGCTAGCTCCTTTTAGCAATTCACGGGCCATAATGTGGGGAAATACTTTAGAAAGGAATCTCACAGGTCACAAGAACTCGCATTCAGCTCTCAATGGTCCAGGACATTTGTGAAGGTGTCTTCGTTTGCCCAGAGGTAGCAGAGGGGTGGGTGGAAGCTACGTTTAAATGTCTACTCTTTGCTGGCTACTGCATCAGATGCTTTAGCGACACCAGCTTTATAAATAAATCCTCATAACTTCTTGAAGAAAGCATTATTACCTTCAGATCAGGAAACCGAGACAAAGATGTTAAATAATGTACCTATGGTCCTATAGCTACGAAATGCGGACCTGGAAATAGAACCCAGCCTGTGTGACTGCTAAGGCTCAAATACTTTCTGCTGTGCGAATCGACAGCATTAGGCACGGGTGCTAGTTCGTTTTCAAATTTCATTAAAATTTCAGGCTGAGACAACCTTATCTCTGGGAGTGACTTCAGGGGATGTGGTATCTGTGAGTGGCTCAGAACACCAAGTTCAGGTGTAGAGAAATTATGTGACTGGTCAGGTTACGCACAGATTATTCACAAACTTGAATTGCAATTCATGTTCTCTCTAGAAAGCTCCGGCTAAAACTTTGCTGTTATTATATGTTAAAAAATCCCATTATGGCAGTAGCTCTTGTACAGGCTGCCTAGCCTGATGTCTTTATTTAGAAAGGTTTGGCTGTTGGTTGTTATTGCAGCCTGATAGGATTTGGGGTGGAAAAGTGCATATTATGTGGATGTGATACCTTCATCTATTAATGGTGCAGCTGCTGTGGATAACGGTTTGACGGTTCCTCAAAAGGTTAAATGTAAAGTTACCAAATGATCCAGCAATTCAACCTCTAGGTATATAAACCCAAGAGAAATGAAAATGGGTCCACACAAAAAATGTACACAAATGTTCACAGCAGCATTACTCATAAAAGCCGAAAAGTGCAAACCATCCAAATGTCTATCGACTGATGAATGAATCAATGAATAAAATGTGGTAAATCCATACGATGGAATATTACATGGCCATAAAAGGAATGACATGCTGATGCATGCTACGGCATGGAAGAACCCCAAAAACATGATAAGATAAAGAAGCCAGTAACAAAAGGCCCTATGTACAGGAATATCCCGGAGATATGTGGGTTCAGTCCCAGTCTACCACACAAAGTGAATATCGCAGCAAAGTACCACGTGGTCTTTTTGCTGGTGGAGGGTCTTGACTTCATTTTGTTAAAAACAAAACAAAACAAAACAAAAAAACTACCTGTGATGTGCAGCAAAAAGTACAATAAAACAAAGTATGCCTGTCTATGATTCCATGTCTATAAAATACCCAGGTGAGGCAAATCTATTGAGACAAAGGGTAGTGTAGTGGTTCCTAAGGCTGGGGAAGGGAGAAAAGTTTGGCAAAGGGGAAATGGCAGCTAATGTACATGAACATGGGGTTTCATTTTGGGGTGATGGTCACACAACTCTGTGAATATACTTTTTTTTTTTTTTTTTAGGCAAGGCAACCCTTGGTTGACCTCACAGATTGCAAGGACCTTGTCAGCTTACAACCCCTTATTTTTTTATTTTTCACACCTACAGCACCTGGTCTTCCTAGGTGGTCTCCCATCCAAGTACTAACCAGGCCCGACCCTGCTTAGCTTCCGAAATCAGATGGGACTGGGCTTGTTCAGAGTAGCATGGCCGTAGACTGTGAATATACTTAAAATCATTTGGAACCTTGCACTGCCAGTATAGTTCCATTCCCTTATACTCTCTCATATGTGTTTCTATTGAATGACTTTTAAAAAATGACATTTCTTTTTTAAAAGATTTGTACTGTATAAGGATATGAAATTGAAGAGTTACTTTTCTTTTTAAACTTTAGGATATTTTCAAGTAGTATTCATGTTTAATTCCTATTTCTTTAATTTTGGTATCCATTTGTGGGTGCTTAAAACTGGGAGAATGAAATAAGGTCTTTGTTTTTGCCTATATTCTCTAGTTTCTATGGAAGGTACAGATTTTTAAAAGCCTTGGCAATGGGGCCTCACAACCCGTTTATAACCAAGACTCAAAGCTGACTTTCGAGACTGATCTTTTTATCAATCGGAGAGATTTCAAGTGACTACCTGTTTTACCATTTGATTTGTATTTCTGAGTGTCAGGGAGAGGAATAAGTGTGGGAATGCACAGTGAAGGTTGGCTAGGAATAAAGTTGGTAGGTACCAATTATTCTGTTTAAAGCCTCTTGTAAGTGTATACTTGAATTAGTTTACATATATTATATATTAAAATTTATGGAATTTGAGTTCATGGCTTATACTGTGAGCGTTAGTTGCAGAATACACTGAATAGGATCTAAGAAATTAAAACGTGGCCCTTCCTTTTCTATAAAATGACAGCCTATGAGTATTTACTTTACCCAGACTATATATACATAGGATTTACCTAATGGTCATGTGACTCGTTAAGGAATTGATTATAAAGCTTTTTGGCATTATAGTTTAAGGATTTTACAAAATGTTGAGCCACATTATTTTAGCATTTTAATATTGCTGAAGTCAAGTTTTAGAAAAATATTGATTCCTTAAAATAAGGCTTTTTATCTTGACCATGAATGTTTGCTAAAAGTCGATAAAGCTATTCAAAGGAATATTTTCATAAAAGGAAGTCGATAAAGAATTTTTTTAAATATAATTTTTCTTGAGAAAAGGTTAGTGGTTTTGTTTGGAGGCTAGATCGTTTGCCTCTAAATCGAGGTTTTTGAAATGACGGGACCAGGTGGGACAGCTGATGTTCATGCTAATCCATGGTTTTATTTGGATGCTGTACACCTCGGAGGCTGGGCCTTCCTGGAACAGAGTTTCTCACTCATCCTTTCTGGTCTTGGAGCTCTGAGGATCGAGGCAGTTGCTCATGACTGCCTTCATGAGCCATTGGCATTTTTAATTCAGGAAAGAGCTAAAAGTTTGCTAAAGAGGGAGATGGCTGTTGGGTTTTGGGGGAGGATGCTGAGGGGGTGGTGTGGTAAATTCAGGATAGGGATCAAAGGTGTAGAGTTAACATTTGAACTAGTGTGTCAAAGAAAGAGACTGGGCCCAGTCAATAGGAGTGAGAAGTTCACTCCTGGAGTTGACCGTGGCCTTGGCACTCTCAGGGGAATGTGTCACCTGGTTACTTCCAAGTCTAAGCAATTCCTGGAGATTCCTGGAGTGTCCATGCCATGGGAATGGATCTCTCTCCAGACCTTGTTCTCGTTGCTGACACCGAGAATCATATCTGAAGCTGTGGGAGGTTGAAGTTTTCCATTACTGAAACCAGTAAATCGGATCATCAAAGTCATGGAGAAGGGTGACATGGTCTCTCTCTCCTAGGTGCTGATTTTCTAGGGCTTTAACCGTGAGGACAATAACCTGTTCATTGTCTACAAATAGGTAGTATTAAATGGAATCTCGCAATGCACCTATGCGTGTCTAGGATTGCGTGTATGTCAACCTAACAGATCCCCTTTTTTCCCAAAGTATACAATAGTATCTCCTTTTAAATATTTTTTTTAGCAGCTTTATTGAAGCATTCACCTATCTGAAGTGTACAGTTCCCTGTTTTTTAGTATATTCACAGAGTTATACGGCCAGCGCCACAATTTTAGAATATTTTCATTGCTTCCAGAAGAAGCCTTATGCCCTTCGGTTATCCTCCCCTCTGCCACGGCCTCCCCCCGACCCCGCCTCGGCCCCAAACAGCCACTAATCTACTTTCTGTCTCTAGATTTCCCTGTTTGGGGTATTTCATGTGAATGATATCATTTCCTTTGAAGTGTTTTAAGTTAAATATTAAATACGCGTAAAAAGCTTGCTTTAATTCTGTGTATCTACATTTTCGAAAATGTTCAAAGTTAAAAAAGTTTTTTTTCTCTTCCAGAAAATATCTTGAAATAGTTTCCCGATCAAAGGAATGGGCAATATTTATGTAATCGCGATCAGGCATATGCAGTCTTTCTATGAGATTCTCAGCAAGCTGTTTGAAACTGTGACTTTCAAGGCTGAAAGGCATCTTTTTTTCTGTGTTTGAAATCAGGTCTTCAAAGCAGGTTAGGAATGTTTAGATATTTCGTTTCCAATGAGTCATTATTTTCAGCTGGGAGTTTTACCTAGCAAAAAATCATTAAAGCACTGACTTGAGTTTGGTCAAGCTATGTGGTCTCTTAGGGTTGGGTTGTCTTATCAAAGAAAAGTTGCTTTATGTGAGTCTTTCGTTGGTTTTGCCAAGATAAGTTTAAAATAGAATTTTGCCTTGGCAGAAAGGGAATCGAGTACAGTGTGGCCAGTTTTACAGTATCTTCATTTTGTAATATTACGCTGGGATCCGAATGTCTGAGAGAGTATTTTTGTCTTAGTGAATGAAGAGAACCAAATCATCTTCAAAAACCAGTTTGTGTCTATGGCCCTGCCACTCTGAACATGCGCGATCTCGTCTGATCTCGGAAGGTCAGCAGGGTCGGGCCCGGTTAGTACTTGGATGGGAGACCACCTAGGAAGACCAAGTGTTGTAGGCGTTAAAAAACAAAACAAAACAGTGTGTGCGTGAAAGCTGGTGACAGATGGTACGTACAGGATGAGATCTGATAGCATCGAGTGCT